AGTGTAGTCTGTTACTTTTCTCTTGTATATGTTCATGTTTATGTGATAGGAGTGCTATATCATCTGCAAAATCAAGGTCCTCAAGCATGGTGAATGGAGTCCATCGTATGCCTCTTAATATCCTGTCTACTGTGTTCTTTAGTATCCAATCAATCACAAGTTTGAAGAGGAGAGATGGCATAACACATCCCTATCTTACATCTGTCTTTACTGGGAAAGAGGTATTGTAATTTTTTTATACCGCAGGAAAAGTCTTAATAGAAGAGAGCAATTATGTTGACTATTTTTTTCTGGAATTCCGCAATGTCGTAAAATTTTCAACAGACCGTCTCTATGGACGCTGTCAAAAGATTTCTTAAAGTCCACAAAATTAATATATATACGTCTCTGCCATTCGTTGCATTGTTCTACAATGTTATATATGACGAAGATGTGCTCAGTTGTTCCTCTGCCCTTTCTGAAACCTGCTTGTTCCACTCGTAGGCATTTATCTACTCCTTTTTCAAGCCGCATTATTATGATTTTACCAAATATTTTGCTTGGTTCTGAGAGTAGAGTAATTCCCCTCCAATTATTGCCGTCTGTTAAGTCTCCTTTTTTGGGGATTTTGACTATTGTTCCTTCAGTCCAGTCATCAGGCCACACTTCTTTTTCCCAAATATCCTGGAACAATGGTTCTATAATGCTAGCAGTTGTGTTGGGATCTACTTTGAGAAGTTCTGTTGTCAGTTCGTCTTTGCCTGGTGCTTTGTTGTTCTTTAAAGTGTGGATTGCTTTAAGGATTTCTTGTTTGCTTGGTGGTTCAGTAATAAGGTCAATGTCCTGAGAGGCTGGTTTCAATCTGGGGGATTTTCAGGATCGGGTCTGTTCAAGAGGTCGGAGAAGTGTTTAGTCCACTGCATGTCTTGTTTTTGTTCTTTGGTGAGCAGTCTGCCTTGGTTATCTCTGATGGGTATGCTGTGATAATTGTTTCTGTTTCTGCAAATTTGCTGGGTAATTTTGTGTAGGGTTTGTAGATCATGTGCTTTAGCAGCATTTTCTGCAGTTTCTGCAAGGTTTTCCATAAATATTCTCTTGTAAGCTCTGGCACTTTTCTTTGTCATTTTATCTAGTTCGCTATATTCTAACATTAGTTTGTCTTTCTGACGTTCTGATTTAGTGTGATTTATAAGGCTCTTTATTCTTTTTCGCTTGGCAATATAGTCCATGGTTTGACTACTTATCCATTCTTTGTGGTGTTGTTTCCTGGTTCCTAATATTATGTTATTGCTAGTATGTTTCTTTGATCTGGTTCCATCTGTCATGAATGCTGATTGTAGTTGGAGTTTCTGGGTCAGTTGATAGGGTTTGAAACCTATTCTTGAGTTCTACTATAAATTTAGTGGCAATGTCTTTTCTCTTAAAAGGTTAACATGGTAACGTGCTGACTGTGTCTTAACTTGTGTGTAAACTTTTTTGAGTTTAAGTCGTAGTAGAGCGACTACAAGGTGATGATCGCTTCCCACATCTGCTCCCCTTTTGACACGCACATCGAGTAGGGACCCACGCCATTTTCTGTTTACCATGAAATGATTTAATATGCACAGGTAACGTATAATTTGTAACATATTGTTGGAGCATAGGTGGTTAAATTTAATTTTTTTTCAATTTAATATATTTTATTAATGTGTTAAACAAATGTTTCACAGTAACTGTAACTATTAAAACGATATCCAATTTAATCTACAGGGGTTAATATTGGAACTTATTAATCTTTTCCCCTCTATTTCAGCATCGCGTATGCTTCCTGACTTTGGTTTTTTAACTTGCAAAAATTATGTGCATATTATATGAGTACAGAACGTCAATTTTAATATACTTTTATATATTTATCCCATTACATTAGTTAACCGGATACGGTGGAACCTCGCTTAAAGAGCATAATTCGTTCCAGAATCATACTCGTTAAGCGAAACACTCGCTATGCGAAACAATTTTTCTTAAATAAATAAATGTAAAATACGATAATGCGTTCCACGTCGAAAAAAAAAAAATTCTCACAAAATACTATGTATAATATGTATTTAAAGAAAATTTTATACATATTGTTAAGGAGAGTGAATGATCTTCATCTTTTCTTCAAAAGCAGAACGAACCCACCTGGAATGCGAATTCGATTTGCAGAAAGAAAAAAAAAAGTCGAAATAATTATGATACATAGCTAAAAATTTGTTTACTAGAAAGATGTTCAGAGACATGTGTTTTTACCGAGGCTTCAAAATTTGTCGCAAATGCGACACGGCATTATCATTAAATAAATTTGCAGCGCCCATAGCCACTTCCTTATTATGGCGATGTTTCTCAATGTAGAATGCAACAGTTTCCCATGCTTTTAGCATTTCTCTTATTTCGCCAGAAAATTGTTGCTTTTCTGTTACCTCCTCCTCCTCCTGTGACAAACTTTCCTCCAAAACTTCTTGCTGTGAAACACAATGCAACTCCATAAGCTCTTCGGTGGTCAGCTCGGTGGATTCATGTACATATATCACAATATAACACAAAGTTTTGAGAAAATGTGTGATCACAAGCGACACTACGATGCTACTGGAATAACTGCTAAACACAGACAGGTGTAAGATGCGCACAATCCAGGACTTTCCCTCTATTCGCCACTCGTTATGCGAAACGTTGCTCGTTAAGCAAGTCATTCTTTTACAATTTGTTTTGCTCGTTATGCGAATTACTCGTTATGAGAGGTGCTCGGCGAGGTTCTACTGTACATACAATTAAAAAAAAAAAGGTATAAACACAAAGAAGCAAAAACTGTTGAAACTATGTTAATATAACACACGTCATCATCATCATGATCGTCATTAAATGCCTTGTCGACTGGTGTGGGGTTTCGAGCCTCTTACAACCATCTCCAGTTGAATAAATCAGTTCATGTGCTGTCCCAAAACCTTCCCTTCCTCTCCCTCTTTTTTTTTTTTTTCACCCACCACAGTGATATGACAAAAGAGGGTCAATTATCTTCTTACACTGCCCGTCCCTTTTCTTCTTTCCACAAATCGTTCCCATTATTACAATAACTGAACTAACCACTTTACATTGGATTTATAGGCTATGAAAAAGCATTTGACAGCATTGTTAGGGAACCTCTCTGGAAATTGATGGGGCACTATGAAATCCCACAGAAAATTATTAACTTAGTAAAGTCAACATATAAAGACATGAAATGTCGAGTTTCCTTATGAGAGAAAGCTAACAGATACATTTGAAATAAAAACAGGTGTGCGACAGGGATGTCTTTTATCGCCTCTTTTACTTTTACTGGCCATAGACTGCGATTATGAAAACAGTAACTGCTAACACAAGAATGGAATTCAGTGGACCCCTAGAAAACAGCTTGACGATCTGGACTTTGCTGATGATATTTCTCTGCTGTCCCATTCACGGAGTCAGATGCAAGACAAATTAAATATACTTGATGCGAGATCACAGCAGCTTGGTCTGAAAATCCATAAAGGAAAGACAAAGATAATAAGAAGAAATCAGGCAAATAGTAATGTGGTTTCTCTTAATGGCACCCCAATCCAAGACGTGGAGTCGTACACATATTTGGGCAGTAATGTAGATAAAGATGGAGAACCGATAGAGATATTAAAATGAGAATACAAAAGGCAAGAGGAGCTTTCGAAGCACTAGGGAATTTGTGGAGGTCTAAAGATATTAACAGAAATACTGAACTAAATTTTTTTAAATTCTAATGTCAAATCAGTACTTATGTATGGAGCGGAAACACGGAGAACATCTAAGGCAATTACTAATAAATTACATACATTCATTAACTGGTGCCTGCACAGAATAGAGGGAATTAAATGGTATGATAGAATAACTAATGTAGACCTTCAGGAGCGAACTAAACAGGCTCCAGTGGACCAAGAGGTGAGAAAAATACACTGGCGTTGGATAAGACACACTGAGAGAACAGAAGAACAGCATAACTAGAATGTCTTTGCATTGGCACCCACAAAGGCATAGGAAAAAAGGAAGGCCAAAAAAAAAAAAAACCCACACACATGGAGAAGAGAGCTAGAGAATGAAGTTAGAAAGATGGGGAGGACATGGGGAGAGCTCCATGCAATGACGAAGGATAGAACAACTTGGCGTGAGTTGGTTGAGGGCCTATGCTCCATGAGGGGGGGGGGCGGGTAGAAAGGCAGAAGAAGAAGAAAAGACTTAACATAGTGAATATTAAAGTAACCGTGTTCAATTTAACGTGTAAAGGTGTATTACAACTTGACAATCTATACCTCTATAATTGTAAACAATTTATACATAAGCTATGCAGTATTAAATAATAAAATTGAGGAGAATAATCAATTATTTGCAAACTAAGGAAACAATATATCCACTATGTTAATGACAAAATATTAGTAAGATTGTCTAATTATTCATAGTGACATTTTTATTTAATCACATCCCCAGCAAAGCAAAATGTGAAACAATACAAATTAGATTTTAGTCATATAAAAAAATTAAAAGATATATAAATTTAAGATAACAAACATATACTCTGAGAACTCAATTAACACCATATATTCCAACCCTGAGGGTTGAACAAGATATTTTTGAGAAACTACTACTACTACTACTACTACTACTGTAGTTTGTAGTAAGTACCGGCACTGTTTTTAAAAAAAAAAAAACTTATGGTGAGCACCTTGCCCTTTTTTTTATAGAAAAAATGTCATGAAGAAAGGAAAAAAAAATGCTTTCAGAATTAACGACCACTGTGTGCAGTTAGTTTGGCGCACTTTAGGGTGCAGTAAGAATCTGGTAGTCACTGTGCTGTCAGCGCCTGCGCTATGAACCTTTTCCGTTGACGATTACCTGTCAATAGAGAGAACCCAACCTGGAGCAGAAGTGGGAGCCTTGTTTATGTTCTCCTTGGTCTCTTAGCTTTTTCTTGATGACATGTAAATGTCATCGGGCACTTTCAGAGATATAATTGAAGAGAAATGCATGAGGAAAACGAGAATGACTGTGAACAGCCGCTAGAACAGTGGTTTTCCAACTTTGAGGATGAATGTCTGAACGAGCTGGAGGCTCAAGGCAGAGTGGAGGCCAGACTGCAAGCTGCCGAAGAGAACACAGCACAACAGTTATGGTTAGGTTTTCAGCATACGTCGACGGCTATAGCACAGCTGTATAATTATAAAGGTAGTGGTTTTTATATTGTAGCTTGGATGTGGGGGACAGTCGTAATTCATTCTTTCACTCTGTTGATTTGAGTATTTGATTACCACATAAATTGATGATTTCTGTCTTCACAGAATAGATGGAGTGAACTTCAAGTAAATAAATAGTAGTGAAATAGTAGAGAAGACCAGAAGACAAGACCAATATTCAATATTATTACTTAATAAGAAAAAAGCCCAGTGTCATATTTAAATAGTAACCCCTCGTAACTATGACATCAAATGCCATATATACGTGAAATCATAAAATATTTTCAATTGCTTCCCATCAACCCACAATGAATATTTAAATTTAAGTAATGCTAATTATTTGTATTGTATAGTAACATGTAATAAAATTATGAAGTGAAATTTAAAAACAAAGCATAAATTTAATACTTCCAGTTGCTCTGCAATGCCTACAGTGAACATATAATATATGGAAATGAAGATATGATATATTCATTTCCTTATTTTCTTTTCTCTGGTAATGTATTATTTTGCTCTGTAATTCAGCAAAAATATTTCATGACCATTCAGTCAGTGTGTGTCAGGAGAGAGTTGTAATTCTTTCATTCTCATTTCTGTTTTTTTTTTGTTTCTTTTTACACACACGCATGCTTACACATAGACTTTTCAGTGTCACAGTGTAGTATTATTTGAGAAGTAGAGACAGGACTAGAGAAGAATGATTAATGACCAGTTTTGATAATAAGAAACGTTTTTAAAAAAAAAATAGTAACTCATAACTAATACTATTATATAAAATGTCAGATTAATGAAAGTATAGAACAGCGGTTCTTAAACTGGATGCTGCAAGCGTATGTCAGGGGTGCCGCAGTAAGAAAAATATTTTTTTTTCAAAATCTGTTTGAGATCAGCGAAGACAGCAGTTTAAAACAGAAACACCGTGAGGGACACAAAGTAGAATTTTGGATGCAGGTGTATTCAGAAGACAGTGCTATTGGCAAGGCTTCAGGGCATTCTCAGCATACGTTTACATGAACAAAACAAACAGATACAGGAGCATCCTTCTAGTGATATGAGGCTAAAATGAACTAAATTTCCCATAAACATAAAGGAAATAATCACAAATTCATGCAAACAGTTTTATTCATTGCATTAAAGACAACTAAACGTTAAACGAGCACTTTTTCCTTCTTTTCCTAAGTATTCAAATCGCTTTAAGGGTAGGTGTGCCATGAAAATTGTTTGCGCGACAAGGTGCCACAGCGAAAAAAGTTTGAGAAATGCTGTTATAGAATATAAATATTCCCCATTGCACTGCACAGACCTACAGTAAATATTTACACTCATTGTTTGTGTTTACTGTGATGATTTTGCTGGGTCTACAGCATATGTACTTAAATGCTTTTAATTGGTCTGTTGTAAACTCTTTCATTACCAGAAGAAAAATATTATCATGTAGAAGATGCCAGTAAAGAAATATCTGATGAAAATTCATTGAGGAATTACTTTCAAAGCGATAATATAAGAGTAATTGTAACCATTTGTTGAGAAAACCTGAGAACAATATATCTAGAACCTACAGGGGCATAGGAATAAAATAAAGGCAGACCAAAAAACACATGGAGAAGGGAGCTAGGGAGCGAAGTTGAAAAGATGGAGAGGACTGCATGCGATAGCGAAGGATAGAATGACTTGACCTGAGTTGGTTGAGGGCCTATGCTTTATTATGGGTTAGAAAGACCGAAAAAGATATTGTGACCATTGGACATGTTAGACTTATTTAAGTTTGAACAACTGATCAACATCATGGCACATGGGTAGTAACCCATGAGTGCTCAGTTCGTCTTCTAACTCAAGTCTGAGTGCGAAGAAGCTCAGCACAGTGCACAGGCTCTGTACCACCAGCGAGGATCCTGAAATACTTTAGGTAGATTTTTAACTCAAAATTTTGCCTGGGCAGAGCCGTTAAGCTTCTCTTTTCAATCTCCAACTGCCAAGGGATTTTTTTTAACGTGTGCAGCAATGCACATGGGTGTCCAATCTCACTACTCAGAGACAAGGGGGAATTACTAGAAGTCCAAATCCACGTGAAAAAATCCCAACCCTTACCTGGGATTGAACCCGGAACCTCTAGCATTCGAAGCGGACACCATGCCTTGAGATCACGCAGCCTCTTTAGATTTCTTGTGTGTGTTAAGCTAAGGAAGGGATTCAGTAGATAGAGGGATTCACACATCACATGTTGTCTGGGACTCAAAATGTTAAAGGTATTTGTATCCAGTACTGTACTTCACATGGTTCAAAACAAATGGCTATGCCTAAAATTAATAGAATCTTTGATTCTCAAATTAAAATATGTGCATGCGGTTACTTGTTTGTGCATTCATGAGCTGATGGCGCTGAGAGGGTAGATATTAAAATTTTGGGCTATCCTCCGAATAACTCACGCGGCGTGGAATGGGGCTAAACTAGATGTCTAGGACTCATGAGCAAAGCTGCAGGAGATGTGGAAGCTGCTGCTCGTGAGTCCCAGCCATCTAGTTTAGCCCCAATCCACGCTGCGTGAGCGTTGGGGATACTCTCGGCGGTGGCGGTAGTCGCCGGAAAACCGCAAATTAAGTCGCTGGAAGTGCGTAATTGACACGTTACTGAGGCTCTGTTAGGATGTTTTTGCGGCCGCCATCTTTTGTGCCCATTCGGAGGATAGCCAAATTTTGAATAAGAGAAGATATTTAAATGTTGAAGAAGAATAGATATTCAAATGTTGAAAAGAGATTGGATATTCAAATGCTGAAGACTCCAGTGCTGCAGATATTGAGCTTATTAAGCTAAGGAAGGGATTCAGTAGCCTCCAGATTGAATTGCCAACACAGTTTCATTTAAACTCCCAGGGGATTGAACTGCCCTCACAGTTTTATTTCTAACCCCCTAGTTATGGCACCTGGTACTCTAGGGGGTATTTATTCTCCCAGCCGACACGTCATGTCTTTGTGGGATGCAATTTTTTATAATTTAAAGGCCCACCCTAGCTCTTGCCAGGGGCCCCAATATAGCCCAACCATAAATATGGTCTAATGGCTGAACGCGGTTTCTGGGACCTCTCCGTGGGTGATCCTCATCCACATGGTAGCACTTTGTGTCATTGGGTGTTTATCGCTTGTGGGATGCCCTGGTCCACCTTTAATACGGATGTCATAAATGAGGACTAATTAGGGGCTTTTTCTTTAAAGTCAGTGCATCTGCCTAAGAGATGAGAACCAACAGTGTGCATACAAATAAGCCAGATCTGTGAAATGGATCTGCATGCAAAAGTCAAGTTCTGGAACAAGACCCAAGTCTAGAAGTGGGCGAACAACCAGAACTTTCCACTGGAGTGTACAACAGATGATCGCTAAGAAGAAGAAGTGGAAACAACGAAAAACCCACTACCCCTTAACAAGCATGTAATAAAAAAGATGACTAATTAGGTATTCACTAAATTCTATATATATAAAACAAACACCATGGAGACGTACGATTTAAAGTGACCTGAGTGCAGCATCTCTGACATGGTAAACTGCACTGAAGATGGCATAGGACAGGGAAGCATGGAAAATCATTTCTGATGCCTCATGTGCCATTAGGCATGAAGAGAAATGATGATGATTAAATTCTTTATGTGGCGCAAATATTGCAACTTAGCTGATTTAGAGGTCAATGCATGTTTTCTAAATAACAAAATTATCCTGGGACATGCAGATCGGCATTCTACAAATAGTAGAAGGCATAATTGAGAGATCATTTCTTACTACTAAAAGCGATTTATACCAGGCAAAAAATTGTGCAATGTATTGTTTTTGTCCGCATTATTTAAAAGCATTATATATGCTGTTAAACATTTTAATTGGGTAAGAGCTTAAACGCTGTTGTGTCTGTGAGGTACTTGATTTGATTGAAGTTGTTTGTGATTTGGTAGGAGATCATTTTGCCTTGATTTTGACGGTAGTATCAAGAGCCAACTGTTTAGAAAGTAGGGGCAAACTGTTGAGTGTGAAATTACCTTGTTAAAATCACAAAAAAGCCCAAACAATGCTGGGGTTGGTTGTGTAATGTCCTGTAAAGGACACGCAAATGACTTTTTTAGATAGTTAGTTTGTGTAGCCATAAGTGCCACAGTATAATTGTTTGGTGCAACTGAACAGGGTATCTGGTATATATGCTTGTTAGATAGACCTCAGAATAATGGCTCCTTGAGTCACGTTAAAGCTTTGGATTCTTCTTCTTCTTCTCGCGTTCACCAGCTGTAAACTCTGAAGAAAAGTTCTGGTTCATCCACTTCTGAACTGCAGTCCTGTTCCAGAACCTGAGTGTTGTGTGTGCATCAATTTTACAGATCTGACTCATTTGTATGCAGACTGCTGGTTCCTTGCCCCTCAGGCAAATGCATTCCGACTTTGAAGGAAGCTCCCAGTCAGTCGACTCTTACGACATGCTTTTGGGTAGGCATTGGGTCTATTTTTGTTTTCCCTATAATAGGGCCCGGAACCCACACAGGGAAGCTTTGTAGTGTGTTGATTTTGGTCACTGGCATGTGGGAAAGGTAAGACAGTTGTGATGTGTCTATCCCTCACCTCAGGCGCCAGCCAACTCCGTGCTGGTTTTACAGATCCTCATCAAGACTCCTACTACATGTACTCATCATGCACTACTGATAATGTCACCTATGGGTCTAAATCGAGCTGGTAGGGGATCTTGGAGTTGATGGCCCAAGAGATACAATGCCCAGAAATCTTCTCTCTTATCAGACCATTCCTAATGCATGGATGATGGTGTCAGTCAAAAACTCATTTGGAACATTACTGAAGCCTGCTGGCCCAAACCTCCTACGTGTAACAAACCGTGATTCAAACGTCTATCGAGGGAAAGAACTACTGGACTGCAGGTACTAAGCCCTAGACCAAGAGATTTGTTCGCAGCCTAGACAAGCAACATCTCCTACGGGCCGTGTCTTGCGGTTCGGTTCTACGTGCATTTGTTGTCGACTCTCATCTTCATTGCCACTGCGTTAAGGTGCACCACAAAAGTCTGCCACTGTCAGTCAGCTAATTGGGCTTAAATATCCATCCGTTCGTATGGCATAACAGCAAAGTCATAAATACCCAACGGTCATAAAGTCCTACTGTTTGTAAGAAAGGTTCAGATGTCTGTTACCAGTGGCTCGCTCCACAGAGTTTCGGCACCAAACACTGGAAGCCATACCTGAAGTAAGCTTTTTCCATACTGTCCTGCTTAATTTGTGGGTGAAACAACTTTGAAGATGTCTAACGTGCTGAAGAAGAAAGAGCCTATTTGTGTGGTCAGTAAAGTCCCAGACCTGCAGGCTGCTCCCTGGTGAGGCGCAGCCTTTGACCAATCGGAAGTTCATCATACATGTGTGAGGTTTAGGAGTCAAGTGCAGGAGGTGATGCTTTCTTGGTGAGGCCAGAATCAGAGCATCAAGTGTCAGCTCTGCATTTATCAAACTTTTTGGATGGCGGGGAATGCTCTTGATCTGTCCGTGTCTTTCCTTGAGGGCCGGCGTCTACATGAGGTTGCTCTAGATGGGTTCTGCAGGGGCAACACAGGTAGGCAAAGGACAAGAGAGGATGTGACACAAATAAGGCCACATGTGTCTCAAGAAACCCAACAGGGAGGCTAAACTGGTGAACAAATGCCTGATGCAGTCGAATGTGACCGCCAAAAGGCGCAAATATCACAACTTTGCTGTAAATAGCAGGCACAGTGCAATTAGGTCATACAGGCAAACAAAAAGAAGGTGAATAAAACTTTGAGAGGGGGAAAAAAATAATTAAACTGAATGTCATTATTTCAGATTCTGCCAGTGATGGGTATTTCCTGTTAGTTCCATTCAATAAAGCTGCAGAGTCGCTGACAAAATTATATAAAGGTATGTGTATTCATTTATGGCTTTCTCTATCCTTAAATTCCCCCAGTGAGGCTTAGATCTTTACCCACTTGTACCTACCTGGTCATTCCATCCATGCAGCTCACTCGCCCTGTGTCTTCCCTGTCTTATTCACCTCTGTCTCGAATACTCTTCTCAACTTTTTCCACTGGTCTCTCTTTGTTTCTTTGCTTCTGTGGGTTTCATAGAAAGAACATTCTAGGTATTTTATAAATGGTTCTTCTCTCCCCCCCCCCCCCCCCCCCCCCCCCCCAAGCATGTGCACAGACACCATTTAGTGAATTTTTGAAATTGACATTCTCCAGTTTTTGCTGCATACAGTAATACTGATTTGAAAATAGAACATTATAAGTTTAGTACTAGTTTTCAATTTCCTTTGACTTCCATACATTGAGGCTCTTTTTACCTTTTGTATTTTAACATTCCTGTTCCACCTTTATTGCTCATAGTCTCCCGGAAAGACACTCGGTCTCTTGCCAGCTCATCTGTGTCATGCACTTTCTTACCCAAGGTGTTATTTATATACTGTACCCATCTTCCTGCCAGTCGACGCCAGCCTGTCTTTCCTGGTACTATGCCTTCTGTTATTATTTTGTTTTTAACAGTCCGCCTTGGTGCTTGATCTATCCAAAATATTTCAGTTTTGAGACAAGATATTGTTTAATAGCCAGTCTTCCTTGAGGTTCATATTTTTTTAGCATGTCATTATTTCTTTTCATATTTGCCCATAATATTCTGAGAATCTATAGCATTTCAGGTTAAAATCTCCTGTTTCCTTTTTTTTAAGGACTGCGAGATAGCTAACGTCTCACATCCTTGTGGGGCTACAGGGAAGATGCATGCTCTCAAAATTTTGACTTTGATTTCCTTGCTGGTGCTTAACCTGAGACTTTTAATGCTGTTTAATCTTTGCATTGCTAGGGCCATCCTCCTTTTGACTTCTGTTGAACAATCTCCATTGCTTTTTATTAAAGTTTCTAGATGTTCAAAATCTGTGACATGTTTCAATTTCCTCATCATTTATTGTTGTCTTTGGGTGGCAAGCAGTTTTGTATGTGGAAATTATTTTTGTTTTCTTTAAATTCAAGAACAGATTTTGATCTTCCTTTTTTTTTTGGGGACAGACATGATTAATAGTTCTTTCTTTTTACAATATTTGAAAGGAGGACTGTCATCTGCATAGTGAAGTTGCGAAATAGGGTTATAGGGTTGCCACCGGTTATGAGCAGGTCAACACTGTTACAAATGTGGTCATTTTTGACATTTCTCATTATGTTCCCTGCATAATATTGAATAGTTATGAGAGAATGCACCCCTGCCTTACTCCCTTTGGCATTTCAAAACAGTCGGATGTTTCTCCACCAGCTCTGATAGCTGCTTGTTGTTCATAATATAAACTTTTAATTAAATATACCAAATATGCTGGAAACCCTACACTTGGAATGATTCTTCGCAATCTCTTATGTTGGACACAACCGCAAGCTTGAACTCAGGTCAGCCCAAATGTGTAAACTTGAAATCAGTGATCTCTGTCTGGAGAAGTGCTGTCAGCTAGTAGGTAACTGGTCATGGCAATAGGAGCTTTTAATGCCATGACATTGTATATGTGGACTTCCCTGTAGATTCTGTGGCTTCATTGTGGGGGGTGGGGGGGAGGAGGATAGACTCACTGCTGCCTAACAGACGGGACCAAACATTTGCTGAAATCAAATGTGTTGAGCTGAAAGGAGCAGGTATCACTCAGCCTAGCTGCAAAATACCGTTTTAACGGTGATTGTAGAAGAAGAAGTATATGCGGAATTTTTTCATTATGTGCCACGCATCTTTAAATTTCATAGTCATGTCATCACTGTGTGACACATGTTTGTTGGTCATTTATCTTATTGTCTCCCTTACCTATGAAGCTGATAGTGTTGATAGACATATGAACTAAATTCTGCATTGTGGTTACTGGAATGTGTTTTCATTCTATTTAGCTCATACATAATATGTGTGTGTGTATATTGGTGGGGGTCGGGGTGTGTGGGTAGAGAGAGATAAAGAGGGGGGAAAAGGGGCATAAAGAGAAAATGAAAATCATTGTGTAATGCATCCTTCCATGTTATATTGTGCTTTAAGCAGTCATGATTTCGAGGCATTCCTCGGACAGCCAAAAAGAGCACCCAAGAGGTTTTAAAGGAGGCAGGTGCTCGAAGACAAACTAACACAGACATCAGAAGGAGACAGTCATCATTTTTCGGCTATGTTGTGAGAATAGGAAAAATTGAACATTTTGTGACCACTGGAAAGATCTGTGGAAAGAGGAAGGCAGCGAGAGAAGATTCTTGACAGTCTTGTTGCATGGCTTGGAGGTGTTCATGCACACGAACTGATACATGCTGCAGGAGATCGCATATTGTGGAGTGGCATGATCGCCCATGCCAGTCGGCAAGGCATCTGATGATGAAGCGGTCATGGGAGTCACTGCCAGTGGTGATGATGATGGGGTTTGACCTCTCTCCACAGCACAAAGCCTGGGCAGTAATGTAGAGACTATGTTTAGCCTATGCAGCTTGATTCCTCACTTGGCCTGCCTTGTTTACTCCCAAGGAGTTGGTGCTATATATTCTCTATTAGCCCCAAATGTTGGGCGCCATATACCAAACCTGACATTCCACTTATGTCAACAGCTTTGAATGGAGGGAGGATACTAGCTTTATCCTTGGATGAGGAAATGCAGCCTGAAAATTTTAACCAGTCCAGACCCATATTCTGCTGTTTTGATCTGCAGCCTCTGCAGCAATCTTTTTTTTGTTGTTGTCCCTAACATATTGGTATTACCTTTCCTTTGTAGTTAACAAAGCAGGCTGAACTGAATGAGGAATCATGCTGTGTGGGCAACACATGGTCTTCACAGTACTGTCCAGGCTTTGTTCTATGGTCATCATGGATGGTGATTCTCATGCTTCCTAGCACAGTGGAACCCCACCATCTGCCGAGATGGAAAGGTGCCAACAACAGATCAGTGAGAAATTATATGGCCCCTGCAGAGATGGGAACTAGTCACCCGCTTATAGAAGAAAAGGATCTTCATTGCTTGGAAATGTCTTGAATTGAAGAATGCTGGAGAATCTTGTGAGAGTAAGAACATGAAAACAGAAGAGGGGCTGTGGGAGGTCAAAAGAAAGGATGTTAAACAGTTCAGCATCATGGTATAGAGGAATCTATGTTAGAAATGATTGGGAGTGCATAAAATATAAGGCTATAGACTGCCATAATAGCAGTTGGCACCAGATGTAGACTGTAAGAAGTATATTTTTCAGTCTTGTTATGTGTAGAATGTTTATAGCTAGGTACTGCAATAAACAGGATTCAGGTATTATAACAGAAATGTTACATGGAGGGGGAAATCAGGAAGGAAAATAGGAAAAAGAAGATAATTATTGCACATAGGTTGAGCTGAGAGTCTGAGAAGAAGCTTGTTAAATTTTGGCAATGGCAGCAGTGGTCTAGAAATCCCATAATATAATTGTGGAAGACTTTTTTTAACATGAACAGGTCTTGCTGGTCACTTATGCTGTGGTCATGAGCTGTGATTTCCAGGCCTGTCAACAGCACAATAAAAGACTTGTGCTGGAAGGATGGAAAACCAGCCCCATCCCCAACAGCCCTCATTAGGTACTAGATGACCGTTCAGAGCCACTAGTTTTGGTGTAATTAATATTTCTTAGCCAACATAATTAGTACACACAAAAACCAGACCACAGTAATTACCAATACTGCTTGCAGAAGGTTGAATGTGGTTGATTTTTTGTTTTGTTTTTTCACAAATGGATGGATGGATAATGGAAAGGTGCCAACAACAACAATATTATAATAGACATTAACTTTTGAAACTTGTTACTTGTTATCCGGATCAACATCTTAGCACACTGGTGCGACCAGTTTGTGTGGTGTCCTTTGATGCAGCAACCATCTCAGTGTCTTCATGCTCACAGTATCTAGCAGGAGTTGGTTGGCATATCTTTTTTCTTTGTCCTGCAACTTGTGTCTTATATGCTTGTCCTCATAGAATGCCCATTTCCAACCAGCGGTTCACCATCTCTTGACTGAAACTTGTTTCTGTTTACAGATAGTCTAAATAATGCTCGAGAGTGCCTGACTCTGGGAATGCAGAGTGGTAGAAGTAGCCGTGCTAGAGATATTGCTGCTTGGGTGCGCAAGAAGCGAAAGTGTATACGCAGAGATGAACTCCTAGCATACCTGTGTGGCAAGAGCCTGCCATCACACTCACACCATCATAGAAACAGGCAGAACCGAAGTATAGAAAGACAGTTGCCTCATCGTGCATCCCACCATAGTGATGCCATTGATGCTGGGGAGTATCCAGTGAGAGAGGCTTTCTCTTTGCAAGGTGATTATGCTATATTATGTTATCACAGTTGATGCCATTACAGTCTGGCATCCCAGTATTGGCTCACTCCTCCATTGCGGAAGGGACCTCTACCGACAGTCCCAATGAGTCGTGTTAAAACCAGCGTCATGTCAATGAGGATTTCCTTAAGCGATCAGTCCCCATCTTTTTCTTCAAGTTCATCAGTTCTAAACTCTGGCAGAAAATTCTGGTTGTTCATCCACATCTGGACCCTGGTCCTGTTCCAGAACTTGTTTTTTGCGTTCACATCCATTTGACAGATCTTGCCTATTTTTTTGTAGACTGTTGGCTCCTCACCTCTCAAGCAGATGCACTCCGACTTTGAAGGAAGCTTAATTCCCATCCTTAGTAGAGTTCCAAGTACCAGTGGTGTCAGTAGAAGTCCAGTTATATGCCCATCTTTTGCCTTTCCTCTTGTTTCCATGACAAGTTGCTTAGATCATTTCCTGGTTTGTCCTCGACGACATAGACAAGCTTGGCTAGACTCGACTCCCATGTCAAGTAATTGGGTTAGCATCAGAAACTCCACTACCAGCCTTGACTGTATTGTCGCTGTCTGTGTTTCCTCCCCACCTCTGTTAGTGTTTGCTTGAAATCACTTATCAAGTAATGTAAGGTGAAAGTTCATGTCACTTCAGTGAACACATAATTCATATAGGTGGTTTGGGGGAGGGGGGGGGGGTCTTATCTGTATGGAGTAACTATATAAATTACCCCATGTGGATTCCAGGGACCTCATTTTTTAGGTGATAACAAGTTTAGACCCACTGCCTCTTAACTAGCATGTCATAAAAGAGGACAAATTACAGGTTTGATAGAATCAGACATGTTGGGCTGAAAGGCACATATATCGCACCTAACTGTAAACAACAACACAAAATGTTATATGCCCCTTCAAAGGTAAACGCAGAATAATAGGACCATTTAGACATGACTTACCAGATACTCTCTATTCCTCATGGTTACAAAATGCTGTTCTTTGTTTGTTTTACTTGTTGTTTTATGGCCCAGCTGTACTATGATGCAGACAAGGACCTGTATGCTGGTAAATTAGTGCACTAAACACTATCCCACCATGCGTTACCATAGCTCTATTATCTTCTTTAATGCAGTCAGATATTTGGTTGGTCTGTGTGACTGGAAATTTGTTGGCATCTATTATTTACACTTATGTGGAGAAGTTGGCTTTTGTGACTTAGAAGTTGTGATGCAGTTTCATAAGCCTGACATACCGGGATTTGAAGTCAGCTGCAGGTTGTGTTGTGTTGGTAGGAACATATTAAGTTAGATCCGGTACATATTATAGGGCGTTAAGTTGAGGTTCCAACTTCACTGCAGGTGGGTTACCCCTTAACTGTTCCGTTCCTGTGCCAGTGGAAGTCACACAAAATGTCCTTTACTGTCCCCTTTAGAAAAACATGTCAGGCTCAGCAAAATTTTGAAGCTTGTACATGCAGAGTAAATGCTTTAGTCAGCTGTCGCACATGCCAACACTAACAGTCCCACAATATAACTAATTCACTTTTGCTCCATCTGTCATTTATGAAAGCTGACATTCTACACACTGACTTTGTACCACATGCAAGCTTGTGTCACTGTCATCACCTTTATTATCATACTATAGGCAGAACAGTTCAGGAAACAATAGGTGCCTTCTACATGTAGAAAGCACCTCTTGTTTCCTGAACTGTTCTGCCTATAGAGCTAGCTGTGCACTCTTATGTCCTCATATAACAAACCTATCTGTGTAGATCAACCCATCTGTCTCATCTGAGTTGTCACTGATAAGCTCACAGACCTTGGCGTTGACAGCAACAGGATTCTGCTGCTGACAACTCTTATCAAGTGTGACAACACAGAAGAAGATGAGATTAAGCGCTTTAAGCACAGGTATCCATCCTCACTAGGGTGGATGTCTGTAAGACTGCAGTTCTGCTTGATGTCATTCTCTGCTCTGCCCAGCCATGATTTGTCTCTTTTTAGTCTGATGCCTTTTTTCTTGAAGAGCATGTGGTGCAAAGGGTGCTACAGATTGGAGCTTATCTTGAGGTATGCACGGGCCTTCCAGATCTTGATCCTGTAGCTTATGGTAGGGAAGTCAGGCAGGTATCTCATTGCTGTACAAAAGGTGTCTCTTGGGCATCCCAGAATAATGTGCTTGGCTTTGTTTTGCACCTTTTCAAGTCTTTTAGTCTGGGTATGGCTGACAGGAGAATGGCTTGAACATATTTGATGGGAGAAAGAACAAGTCCCTGGAACAGAAGCAGAGTCGGCCTCTGCTCAGTATTGGTGGCGGCCAGTATCTGTATACCTGACAGCCCTTTGCCTGCTTTTGTTATAACATGGTCAACATGTTCTTTGAAGGACAGGCTGTTATCAGACCTCACTCTGAGATATATCATCAGTTTTTTTTATCAGTTTCATCGCCGTTTTCAACTGCTGGTAATGAATATATCATTGCAAGTTCATGTGTGTCAGAGATTCCTTGTTGTCGTTTGTGGAGGTATGGAGTTTGTACATTGTGCAGTGCTCTTGGTGAATGGATAGTCGGTCTACAGGGAGAGAGACCAAGCCATACGGAATAAAAACTCTGCATTGATTTGAACTGTTTTCCTGACCACACTTTATAAATTATGTTGTTATCGTATTTTCATTAGGTCAGTCATCTCACCTAAAAACACCCTTAATATTTTGTTCACTCTACTCAAAGTATCTTTTCTTTCTAATTTTAAATTTTCTTTTTCAAACAAAACTTTATAAATTGTGTTATTATGATATATTCCTAATCAATTTAAACAGCTTATTGAGAGGTCTGTGGAGTGAGACCAAGCCATGTCAGATAAAACCTAGTGCAGTGACGCCAATCCTTCAGTTAGTTGGTTAGTCGACAGATTATCCTCATTGCACATCAAACCATTCAGTGTGTAAGTGTAGTGGTTGATGACACCAGTTCTGTGTTGGTTTCTCATTCTTCTTTGGCTTCCTGCCTAGTGCTGTGTAAATCCTGCTGTCCTGTTGCCTACAACACTGTTTTATGTTGTTCGATATACCCAGAGTATCTTTCCTTTCTAATTTTGATTTTTTCTCTCCCCCCCCCCCCCCCCCCCCCCCCCCACTAACACATTATAATTATACAGTATTATTGCACTGTCATGTTCAGTTTATACAATTTCATTGACAGGTCTGAATGGTGCAATGTCCAATATCAGCATGGGATACAGCCGACCCAGCACAGCTGCCGGGTGCACATTCAACTCTTTCTCCAGGCCACCAGTAGTCGACTATTTATACCACGATGAACGAGCCAGAAGCTCCGAATATAGAAAACGACGAAATTCCTCCTCAGGCACAGACGCCAGCATGGAGTCACCGTCAAGGAAAAAAGGCAAATCGCTGTGATCGGCCAGAATGAATTACCCTTGCTGTTCTCCTTAGCTCCAGGTGTTGTCATAAACTTGGCTATTGGCTACTCCTTTCACTCAGGCGCATGGGACATAGTTTACTTTGATCATAAAATTCCAGGTGCATAGGACATTGATTATCTCAGCCATAAAATTCCAGGTGCTTGGGGCATAGATTATTTCAGTAATAAATCTCCAGGCGCGTGGGTCATTATTTCAGTCATAGACTCTTATATGGGTGAATACACTACTTTGACTTCACGTGCATGGGACATAACTTATTTCCCACATTTTTCCCAAACTTGTTCCTTCTTCATTAGGTTTTCAGTAGCAGCTGTTGACAGTGTTGTTAATTTCATAATACAACATACATATAAACAGTATACTTCTTGGCACAGCATTACTTTTGAAATAATATGTCGTCGTATTTGTTGATTATAGGTAGATGAGCATTCAGTGTCATACTTATATTTATAATTATCAAGTATTTCATTTTCATACTTTGTGATCTTTTGGGTTTTTTTTTTGCATTTAATTCAAGAAAGAAAACCTGCACACAGGTGAATGTTTGCTCTGAGAAGAGAAACACATATACATGTGATAAAAGCATTTAAACAATGTGCTTTTGTGGATAATCAAAGTGCTTTATGGTGCAGAATGGTGGACAGTGAACAAGCGATTAAAAAGTGACACGAATTCTGAATATGTGCTACAGAAGTGCTTTCCGCATACAGTAGATAGATTACAGGTCTGCCCAGGTGGCATACCGGTGGAAATTAAGTCATGTAGATCAGTGGAGGATATGCATCACACCACAGTCCTCATAGAGGCTTGTGGCCTTCCCGGGTGAAAACCACCGGCACGGAGATCGAAAAAAGAATAAACCGAAAGTCAAGTTGTGGCCATGGAGGTGTGAGTATATTTGAAGAATGTGTTCTAATTCCAGAAAACAGTCAGGGTGAACTACTGATGTTACAGAGAGATTGTGAATGTATAGAAATTCATGATAGAAATAAATAAGAAACAAATGCTATATATTTCAGTTGCGTTGAAAGTCATGGCTTTTGTAAAAATAAACAGCATATTGGAGGGAAAACTTGGAGATCGTTGAGCAAGAGGTAGATAGAGATATTATAGAAACACAGCATCAAGGGATGAACAAGCAGAAAATAGTATGTGCAGCCAGGGCAAGCGATAGTTTTGGAGGTCCATTACCAGCCAGCTTTTATTGAAACTCCTTGCTGGCTGCTGAAGATGAGGGCCGGACATTTATGGGAATATCCTGAGTACCGTAATATTGGTTCTTAGTTAAACTCAATATTGTGGACATCGCACCTGGTTGGTTGATATAAGGTCCTGGTTGATCACTATAGAAAGTCAGTTTCATATCCTTTACAGTACATTGGTTGTTTTTTCCGGTGTATGCCCTTGTGTTGGAAAATGAACAGGTGGACAGATTAGCTGGCCCTGCACAACTTGGTGGAATACTGGTGCATGATAAGGCAGACGTGGTTAGGCATTTTGGGAACACTAAATTGATCATCACAGTCGTGTGAGAGTGATGCAGCGTTGAGTGGCGAGGGGATCTTGTCGATTCTCGACGCTCAGAGGAAAGGCAAGACGGACATATAATCAAACTGCTACTGGCACCATTGGCATTGGAACTCTGCGCTGGCTGCTGAAGAAGGGGACACAGCGCTTATGGGAATGCACCGGGTGTTGTTTATTGAATCAACTCTACAAGAGCAGGCAGTATTAACCTGGAGTATTTTTGGCTGTTGTGGTTTTTCTAGGCAAATTTACGTTCAGGAATTTGCCATTGCTTTCTGAACGGTTGGCCATCAATACCACTGTGGAAAACCAATGCAGGATGGTCTGATTTAAAACCATTTTGACATCATCATCATCATGTGCCCTGTCAACTGGTGTAGGCGCTCATGCGCCTCCACAGATCACGATCTCTGGTTGCCTGGAACAGCTCCCTTGATGAAATCTCTCCATGCAATCATTTCAGCCCATCCAGCAACATATCTCTTGGTCTGCCTCTACTAATTTTTCCCAATCTTTCCAGTTGTCATGATGTTCTCCAATGTCTCTTTTCTCACTATGTGGCCAAAGAACAGTGTTTTTCTAATTGTTGTAAATAGAGATCTTCTTTTGTTAGCTTCTTTCAAGCAACCGTATAAGTTACTCTGGCCGTCCAAGGTATTCGTAACATTCGTCTCAAAACCACATCTCTGTTGCTTCCAAATTCTTCTAATTTGTTTACTGACATTAATTTTGACATAGGTGGTAATAAACCAAAATATTTACAGTTTATGACCAGGACACAACAAATTGTACATGTCTAAAGCAAGTTAGAGAACTCAAACACTCAGGAAGTATCATGATGAATAGTGTAGTAGACTGCACAGTTGAACTAATATATCAAAAGCAAGTGCATTTATATGCCAGATGGCACTGTTATTAAAACATCTTTTTCAGTTTCCCTTAAAAGGCTAACTGGCACATTGTATTATGGCTTACACCCAGGCTGAGATATCTGCACTTTATGGCCCAACACATCTGATTTAAGCAATCTCCTATTTAGTCACCTTTTATGACATGCTTGTGAGGGTCAGTGGGTCGGTTCTTTTGTTCTCCCCAAAAGTAACACATGTAGGGACATCAGAACATCTACTTTGCTTCCAAAGCAGCAGATTATAATTAGCATTTTGATTTCAACACTATTTTGCCAGTGCCAGACTTGAACACTGAGATACTTACAAATGTAAAATCAGTACTTAGGAGATGAAGTGCCTTGAAACAGCTGCCACTTTAACAGTCTGAAACCATGTGAGGAACATTACGTTTTGACACACTGGGAACAATTACCTAGTGTCACACGCTTTGAGAAGCTGAAAATCAAATGGTTTGTGCACCGTATCATAATGCATCCACATCATGTTACAGTCACTGGTGTTAAATATAAGAAGAGCAGAAGAGTGTTCATTGATTGAGTTGAGCTAACTGACATCACAACACTCAGGATCTTCCCATAAGTGCTCCATTTCCATTTTCAGCTGCCAATATAGAATTCCAGTTCTGATGGTACACCAGTATTATAATTGAAAAGATATCAAACCAGATGAAAACTACACCTATGTGGCCACCAGAAGTAAAATACTGGCCAGAAAAGGCCAATAGTGACAAGCCATTTCCAAACTGTTTCTAGGAAATTATGATTAAGTGTCCATCTGGAGTTTAAATGAAGCTGCTGTGATGAGCGCCTAGATGCTCACCTGTGGAACCGAAAGTCGTGGTTTCACGTCCTGACAGAGCTGTACTTTGAAAAAAAAAAATGAAGCTAAAGTAAAGGTAAAAATTCAGTAGAAGTGAACTTATCTTAAATGCTTGGAAATATTCAGCTCAGATACTGGCCATGCTAACATTAGGAGTATTCCATGAGTGATGGAATACCAGATATTCCTTTCTTCAGTACCTGATAGCTGAAGAATTTCGCAATGAAGATGATGACAGAGTTGAGACTAAATTAGTCAGTAGAGGTGATTCCATCCTGAACACATGGACATGGATTCAAATGTTGGATTCAAATGCTACAGGTAAATATCCGCCTCAAATATTGGCTGAAAATATCGGCCCAAAATTTCAACTTCAAATATCAGCCTCTCGACCTTTAAGAGTTAGGCTGTTTGTTATGTTTTACCATTTCAAGTAGTCATTGTAAACTTCACATGAGTATGTCTTTCATTAATTCATGTGTTATGTAATGTCAGAACTGTCCTCCTTCTGGTATTATGTCAGTTCAGACAGTTGTAAAAGTGGAATTTGATAATACAGTGCAGACGACCGCTTAGGGCAATCTCAGATGTTGTGAATTTCTGTTATGAAGAAAATTTTTTTTTTATTCCTAGCAGTTTTTCTTGCTTGAACTCATATCTGGATAAAATAAATTTCTGATAAGAAGAACCATTTCTTGGGTCACTTGTAAGTTCTTCTTATCAGGTCTGCACTGTACTTAGATTTGAGCTTTTACAAGGTAAAGGGAGGTTTAAAAGAAAATTACAAATTTTGCAGATTTATTCTGCTTTCACCATTAAAAAGGCTATTAGCATGTTGGGTTGGGCTTTAGAGCTAGGCTACTATGTCTTGACCTTTTGGCCCATCATATCTGATTTAACTATACCCTTAATTAGTTGCCTTGAATGACACACTTGTTTAGGAACAGTGGGTCTGTTAAAGCTCGCCACCCCCCCCCCCCCCCTCCCCCCCCACTATATTGGGGCCTTGAAACCCACACTGGGGCAGGATTTCAAAAGGTGTGAAAGTATCAGCGCCTCATTAATATCAGTTTTTAATTAGACAAAACATTTGTTATGTACTTATTGTGTTCTCACAAAACACGGTTACAAGCATTGTTTGTGTCATGTGTATGGAATGTACACATTTTGTTCTTTTTATTTTTTTTATTTTTTTGGAGGGTTTATTAATACTTCTCCCTCTGTATCTGCTGGCTGTGAATTCTAGCAGAAAGTCCTGGTTGTTCATCCATGTCTGGACTTTGGTGTTGTTCCAGGACTTGAATCACAACTACTTTGAGAATGGAGGTGGAGGCAGTCACTACTGCCTTCTGCTGGATTGAGAATCAGCTGTACACACATGTTGTAATTGTAACTGACTCACAGAATATGCTGAGAAAGGTGGAGACAGGCATGCTCCGTGCAGAGTGGCAAGCATCGCTTCAGAGGTCCCGGGTAGTTAGTGTCCTTTGGGTATTTTCTGCAGGTTATGCCGGTGTGTTGGGAAATGAGAAGGCAGGTAGACTGACCGGTTCCTCACCACTTGGTGATGTATTAATATATGACAAGCTAGATGTTGTCTACCCTTTAGGAGCGAGTGAACAGTGCAGAGGCACGCATAGATTATTAGGGTTTGAGGAGAATGGCGCTGCGAAGAGTTACTTGTGGCTCTGGCCGAGGCTGAATATTTAAGGGATTG